AGCTGGCTACACCTCGAGAAGTTCTTTTCTGTCACTGTGGTTCCATCTGATTTGGAATGACACCTCTTCTTATCGCTGCTGATCTCCAGAGCCTGTCCCTTCATGCCCACATCCTCTCATTTCCATTGGGACCACATCCCAATACAAGAATGAACGCCCTCCTGAATGCACTGTTTCTGCATTCTCATCCTGGCCTCACCAGTTAGCCCGGGTCCTGCTCCTGGCCATCCTGTATCCACAAAAATGAATCCCCCCATTGTCAACTCAAGTCAATCAGCACTTTCTATTGTTGTTATGTGGCATCGGGTTGCCTGTGACTCACAGCGACCCTATGTACAACAGTCCTACACCCTGCTCTATCCACAAACTGTTCAAAAATCTGAGCACTACAGAACATTTAGAACACTTCAGGTATTTTGTGTCCTTGGTTCCTGGCCACAAAGGGCCCACAGCAACCTGCACTGTGATGGCTCAAAACACTCCTGCCTCCACCCCTGGCCCCTCCTATATACCGCCAGTCCAGCCTGTACAGACAGAGAGGAGACAAGGGGTAGAGTGCACCAGCTCAAAAGATGCAACAGCATTTCCTAACTTTATAACTTTGAGTTGGCAAATTAGCAACAGATCTGCTACTCTATCCCTAGATTTTAGCATTCAGGATAAAAGGCACTTCTGCCCTCATAAAAAAGCCTCTTAGGTGGGGGTGGAGAGACAGAAGGATTTAATGGGAAGGCAATGTAATAACAGAACAGCTAAAATCTAACACCTGGCATAAGCTCCAAGGGTATTTTTAGTTCTTTTTAGAGAAGTTTACTAATCCTCCAAAGGGCTTAAAAGCATTTTATATTTGCTTGGAGGGGGTTGAACGGTTTTAAAGATAGAGATTATAAGACTAAGGTCGTTAAGTATGGAAATCTAGAGGAGTAAATGGGGAGGGGAGAAAAGCAAGTCTTGCATGTGTGTGCATTTTAAAAAACTTCATTAGGTATATGGCCAACAATCCCCACTGCCGTCAAGTCAATTCTGATTCATGATGACCCTCTACTGGGTTTTCGAGGTTGTCAATCTTAGCGAGAGGAAATTGTTTCATCTTTCTCTGGAAAGATGTGACTGATTGGAGTTGCTGACCTTAACCTACTATACCACTGAAGTCCTGATCGTACAACGTGGTTGTTCAGTACCATCAAGTTTGGAACCCAACCATAACTGACCCTCCAGAGGGTTTTCAGAGGCAGATAACCGCACGGGAAGGGACTGGCCATCCTTCTCCCATGGAGCAGTTGGTGGATTCAAACTGCATGCCTCCTGGATTACAGCACAGCTTCTTACCACTAGGCTACCACATAAATACACAGACTAGAAAGGTTCTTATCAAACTAAGAGGAGAAGAAGGAAAGCATCAGGTGGAAGGTCTTAAGTTTCACTCTAATGCATAAGTATTGCCTGACCAGAACCAGGCAGACTAGTTGAGAATCTGTGTCCTTTCCAATGGGAGCATCTGTGGATCTTCAATCACACATAAAGACTGGTGATTTTATAGTTCCTGCATTAACTAGGATGCTACGATTAGTCTAAATTAAGACATAAACTACCAAAGAAAGAAGCAGAAAGGAAGAGGGATTATACACTTCCTGTTTTTATGAATTCTCCCTATGTGAATGATGACATTTCTTTGCAGGATGCTTGGTTTTCATTTTGCATTACTTGTTTATGTTTCCTGTCAGTTCCTCCAGCAACAGGTTGGGCTTGCTTCTAGATGAAATAAACAAGCTCGTGAGCACTGTAAATCTCACACTTTATTAAAAAAAAAAAAAAAAATTCTAAAATAGGATCTAACTTTTGACCTGAACAAGTTGACAATGTTCCTACAAGAAAGCCATGGTTCCCCTGACAAAGTTAGAGCTGAAAGGTTAAAGCCGAGATAAAAGGGCAAGGGTTTAGTGCTGAGTACTGAGCGAACAATCTCCCAATTGAGTCTGACTCGCAGCAATGGACTTTTTCATGCTAACAAAGCTAAGAAGGAGCAAAAGGTCAGAAAGCTTCAGCGGCTAAAGCTGCTTTGCCAATGACACATGCCGATAATGTCAGGGCTTAAGAGGAGAGGGCCACTGTCTGCAGAAAAACCAAGCTCTTGAGGCCTAACAAGAGTGAGGGATTGCACAGAACAGCACCGCCCTGAAAATGCTTGGGAAACCAGATTTCAAGAAGAGCTTTATGTTTAGGAGACAACATGGAGCAACTGGTCTACCAGATGTCATTTCCCTTCCCACAGAAGTCCCGCTAGAGTAGAGTCAACCCTTTGAGAACCATCACCATCACTGGGGGATGATGAATGACAAAGAATTTGTTTATTGATACAACACGCATCATCCCCTCTGTGAAACAAGGCTTAAACTAATCTAAGACGCTAGTCCAAAACCTTCTGGTGAAGCCTCAACTTAAAAAAGAAATCATTTATGCACACCCATGTTTATCGCGGCTTTGTTCACAATAGCAAGGAGCTGGAAACAACCTAAGTGCCCATCAACAAACAAATGGATAGAGAAGCTATGGTATAGTCACACAATGGAATACTATGCTGCATCGAAAAACAAGCAACTCATGCAATATTATTCAAAATGAGTGACCCTGGAGGACATTATGCTGAGTGAAGTAACTCAGTCACAAAAGGACAAATACTGCATGGTGCCACTGTTGTAAAGCAAGACTGACCTGGGGGTTATGAGGAGACTGAGAAGGATGGGTTCAATAATGTATACTGCATTGAAACAGATGAGGGAGAAAACTGTTTAAGAGGGGAAATTATTAGGGATTTTTGCCATGACAGAAGTCCAGAGCGAAGGCTGCATAGTGGAGTGGACCCTTGGGGGAGGTATTGTAAAACAGTCAAAGAATTTGTCTTTTACTTTTCCAAGAGGGTAGTGTACTAGAGGGGAGGGTTGGGAGTAGAGAAAAGTGCAACAATGAATGAATGGAAATAAAAAAAAGAAATCATTTGTTCTGTGTTATCCATTGTTTGATATCTTTCTGCAGCTCAACAACAGGTGGGTTTATACCTGTTGGGGAAATAAATACTCTCTAGGCTTCTGACTTTCTGACTTTTTACAGGAAGTACTCAAATGTGTTGCTAACTTGAACTGTGGTATTAAGAAATAATACACTCTCCTTTTCTGCTGGTTGCCTGCAAAAGGTTTGGGTCCACCCCTGAATTTCTAGGGGTGTTCCTCACCCCCAATTTACTTCTTTCCTCTTGAACTCCTTGCATGGTCTATCTTTATCTTTCACTGCCATGCCTCCTCTGCATTACTTTAATAAACCTTTCTCATTTGTATTGCTAAATTAAAAAAAAAAGAAATAATATACTTTCATCTGCCCCTGAAATAAAATAAACCAAAACCCAAACAAACTAACAACCATATGTGACTTAAAGTCCAAGAGCTCATTGTTGTCAGGTTGAATCTGACTCCTAATGGCCCTAAGGAACACACCCCATAGGTTTCCGAAGTTGTAAATGTTTACAGAAGCAGACTGCTCCTTCTCCTTTGAAAACTGGTGGGCTTGAACTATGGACCTTTTAGTTAGCAGCCAAGTGAGTAACTACTGCATGACCAGGAATCCTTTAGAGCCCAGCAGTGACAGAGTTGCAGATACACCTCATAAAATGTTTACGAGACCGAATGGGAAACTGCAGAAAATATTCAGCCAGAGCAACAAACCAGAAATGGGGGGCAGTGCAGGGAGGGAAGAAATAACAAGAAAATAGAGTAGAAATGGCCTAAAACTTTTCCATAAATGCTTCCACTTTAAGATCTAAAAGAAATCTGATATATTTTTTTAAAAGTAATTTTGTAGATTAAAACAAAAAATTCCAACAGCATAACGATTAAGCAACCATTGATTCACATGATTTTAACAAAGTTACTTCTGTTGTTATTAGGAAAGTGCCAAGTTTTCTGTCACGGTCCTGTGTCATCAGCGTACATGAGAATCTGGGTTTGATTTCCATTTAAGAGCCTGGGTGGAGCTCCCAGCAAGACCCCCCTTGTGCTCGAGTCCCTGTGCCAATGTCACCTGCCAGTTCTACACTATAGCACGCAGACCTGGGGGGTTCACCCTCAGCACAGTCAGCTCGACGTGACGGGACCAAGGCTCTCGGGGGGACAACCGTTCCACTCTGGATGTGGCAGGCAGGAAGCTGGCTGCCACAAATACTGAAAAGGGGAGAAATCAATCTGCAGAAATATAGGGTCAGTATGAGCCCATTCTCATTAAAAGCACTGGGGGGACAAAAAAAAAATCAATAAGGGAAAAACCTCAACATTTTGTGGGTGCATATGAATACCTTTGTTCCTTCAAGGAGTGGGGCCGGAAAAGTAAGCAGAGCCACTTTCTATTGTTGTTGTTGATGTTGTGTACCGTCAAGCTGGAACTGACCCATAGCTGACCCTCCGGTGAGCTTTCAGAGGCAGCTAATCACATGGGAAGAGATTACCCATCCTTCTCCTGTGGAGCAGCTGGTGGATTCAAACCACGTGCCTTGAGTGCAGCTTCTTGACAGCGGGGCACCAGAGCTCACTTTGTACGAACTGTACCTTAATAAGGTTGCCGTTGTAACGTGCCGTTGAGTTGATTATGCCTCACAGTGACCTTATGAACAACAGATCGGAACCTACCTCTCTCTTGCGCCACCCTCAAGCTCTGCCAAAAGAACAAACCAGTCTGCCTTGGAGGCAGTGCAAGCAGGGTGCACCTCAGAGGAAGGGATGCTGAAACCTCATCTCACATGCTTTCAACTAGAAACGGCAGAGAATCAGAAAGGGAGAGGAAGACTCTCAAGAAAATGGCTTGACTTATTAAGGCCAGATTTGTTCATTTTGGGGTTGGTTTTTGTTTTCCAAAATGAACATAACTTGTACCTCACTTCAGAGTTTACAAGAAGCCCTTCCCACATTGGTTAATAGGGGTGGCTGAGCCCCAATGCCAGCACACGGCGGCCTCACCTCGGCATTCCACATCGGGGTCTCCCCAGAAGAGCTCCTGGCACTCGCTGCAGGTGCGGCCTCCAAACCCAGGCATGCACTGGCACTGCCCTGTGAACTAAACACAGCCAGAAAAAAACCTTGGTCAAGTGGTTTTCTTCACCTTCTCTGTCTGCTGCTAGTTAGAAGTGGGACTGAGCTGTCTGCCTCCCCATCTTGAGTAAACAGATCACTGTCGTCCAGGAGGAAGTGCCTCAGAGCTGATCCTTCAGCAGGTTTTCAGAGACAGGAGGAGACTGCCCATCCTTCCCCTGCAGAGAAGCTAGTGGACTCGAACTGCCTGCCTTTGAGTTGGCAGTTCAACTTACCCACTAGCCGACCAGAGCTCCCACATCCTGACCTCTATTATGTTATGTACTATGAAGTTGGAATCGATCCTGCAGTGAGTTTTCAGAGGCTATAAATCACAGAGGAAGATACTACCTATCCTTCTCTAATGAAACCGTGGATTCGAACTGTGTGCTTTTGGGTTGGCAGCACAGTTCCTTATCACATGCCACCAGAGCTTTCTCACATCCTGACTAGGGCAAGGGAGCCCTACTTTGGTCTTAGGGGATGAGGACCCCACGCAGCACCTCTTCCACTAGGAAGTCCCCTGAACATTACACGGTCCTCACGTGTCTCCTCACTCTTGGCCTCACAATCACTGACCGTCCTAGCTGACTGAGGGAGCGCGTCATTCTCAGTGTGTGCTAGGCAACAAAAGAACATTTTACCGTGCTGGTTTTGGTTCTTTGGTTCCTTCTAAGCTGCCGAGCAGCCACACATTGGGAGGAAGCACCATGTCCATTCTGACATGAGTCCACATAGCAGCGGGAGCTCAGACTGAAAGGCTGCAAGGGTCAGGAAGGGCCTCTGCACACCATAATGACATTCCAGCCCAGGGCGACAGTGAGGGCTGAGGCCCAGACCATGATGTGCCAGCTAGCAGTGGACCATTTGGCTCTGTCCATGGTAATTGGGCAAAGCCACCAAACAAGCTAGCCAACCTCTGGGTTCACAAAGACGGGTCTCCTTCTCCCATAACAGCCCCAGACTCTCACCTCGTTACAGGATGGCCCGAAGGAATGGGCAGTGTCGCAGTCGCACGGCTCACACCCTGTCCCACTGGCCAGCTGCCAGGTATTGGGCGCACAGTGGTCACAGTTCTGCCCGATGACATTCGGGAGGCATAAGCACTGGCCAGTGGCTTTGTCGCACTGGCAGTCGGAGCCATTGCAGTGCGCCTGCACGGTGCCCAGGTAATTGCAGACACACTCTGAAAAAAGAATAGTGGGTCAGGTGCATGATAGTCACAGTCCCCACACGCAGATGGTGCAAAATGCATTACAGGCAAGCAGTTAAGACAGTCGCTCTCCAGACCTCGACCCTGACATGCAAACAAGGAGGGAAAGAACTACAGGAGATGAAAACCAAACACAAACCAAAACAAACCCCCACCCCTAAAGTGACCTCAAGTCCTTCCGATGCACTACACAGACCGGACACTTCCCAGGCAGATATGAACAATGGCAAGTTTTGCCTAAAGGTATTTTCAAAACACACACCCTTAACTAGCTGCAGGTGAATCATTTTAAAACTTACAGGACTTAGTAGAATAATAAGAGAGGCGCCAGTGGGAATAAGATATCTAGGGATTTAGAATTCTTGGCGGGGAAGAACAAGTCAGGAATGAGTGGGACACGGCAGGTAAAAGCCCTTTAAGCTAGAAAGGCTTCCTTCCAGGAATCTGGTCCCCGGGGCCCCCAACATTCCAGACATGTTTGTATAAACAAAGAGGGGCCTGCAGACTGCAGCAGCCTGGGCAGAAATGCTGGCTGATCCCCTGATAAGAGAAAAACACCAAATTCTCAGAGCATAGAAGAGTTCCTTCTTTCTCCTTCAACTGGTAGGCTTTCTATTAATGATATTCGAAAAGCTCTGCATTGAAATGCATGTTCAGAATCAATAAGGCCCATCCAATCAAAGTCCAGGAGCAGAGCATAAAATCAATAAACTCTACTTGGACGGCATTTATCATGGTGAAAGTGACATAGCTTTTCCTTTTGGAAAAGATACTGGATCACATCTTGTGACTTCAGTCCTATCAGAAAATGGGAGGAAAACAGTGTCATTCTTCTATGGTTCACAGGAAAAGTTTCTCCCTCTGACTACGTGTTTTCTTAAATGATATAAAAATAGAAAACTTCAAAGTGCAGACGGACAGAAGGTGGGTCTCATCCGCCTTACTTTTACAGTCCTGCTGGAGCGCGTCCCCGTAGTAGCCCGAGCGGCACAGCTCGCAATGCTGTCCTTCCGTGTGGTAGAGGCACTTAAGGCACCTGCCGGACTCCTTGTCACAGGCTTCCGGGTCCGTCGTGTCAATGTTCTGGTTACACTGGCAAGGCTGACAGGTCCCGCCGACATCAGAGGGGTTGCCAAAGAAACCCGAGGCACAGTCCTCACATCTGGAACCTGTGGTCCAATAAAACCAAGGACAGTACTTTTGGCTGAAGAAGCTCACCAGCCCCCTGCCATTCTTGTCCTGCAACAGCTGGCTGGGTGTCTCAGAGGCCAGTGCTGATGAAGGTGGGGGTGCTCACGTCCAGAGAAGGAACAGCTTCTAGCTGGGAAGGGAAAGGTGTCCTAAAACTACCGACAATGCCACAGGCCAGTAACTCCTAGGATTGTTACAGTTTTGGGGTTTTGTTGTTTTGTTTTTAGCATTTGTGACTTTGGTTAAACAATGAGTTGAGAATATAAAGTGAGTCTGAAGTCAAAATTCCAACCCAAGGGTTATGAATGACCTTAACCATTAAGTCTTTGGGGCTCACTGGGAATCTGTGAGTGGTACACAGCAACAGATTCTGCTATTAACAGAACTGCCCAAGGTTTGCGTTCACTTAGAGATCTGTTCCCCCCAAAAAAATCAGTCACTGAAAATGCCATGGAACACAGCTGTACTCTGCCATTCATGGGATTCCCGTGAGCTGGAATACCTCAATGGCTGCTGGCTTAGTGAGAACCCAGTGCCCCTTACTCAGAGACACCCAAATCACCTGCAGATGTTTACGGGCTCCTGATCATCAGGAGCTCTGATGGCACAGTCTGTAGAGAGCTGCTCTGCTAACCCAAAGACCATTCCTCTCTGGTGGTTCGAAGCCACAGCGGCTCTGCAGTCTCCTGTTTAACTTTACAGTGTTGGAAACCCAACGGCAGCTCAGCCATGACTTGGCTCCAACTTGCTGGCAAGGAGAGCTGAGGCTGTTGTTCACAGGTAGTATTTGAAACACTGATATTGAGGATGAACTGAAAGTTTCTTTCACAGCCAGCTAAGCTCACTGGTACTGACAGATGTGAGTATAATTAACACGGAAGCATAAATCAGTCTTAGCTTTGATGGATTCAGTGATCTGGGGACTTGCTGGGTGATCGTCTTTTCTCCCTCTGCCCATCTCCCTATTCGAGGTACTTCTGCCATAAGCTCGATGACACTTTTTTTTTTTTTAATTTTTTAAAATTCTTTTTTTGTGCATGTACCATCAAATAGGATCTGACTGGTACAGGAGGAAATTGCCCCTCCTTCTCCAGCAGAGTATCTGGTGGATTCGAACGGCGAACCTCTGGCATTGCAGTTGCAGCTTCTTGCCACTAGACCACCAGAGCTCCCTCAATGAGGCTTTTGTTAGGTGACATTCAATTAAGGTTAACTCATAAAGACCTAATGTGACAGCTCCCCCTTTAGGTTTTCTAGGTTATAATAATCGTGGAAGCCAACTGCCAAGTCTTTCTTGCATGGAACCCAGTGGATTCAGACTGCTAGCCTGCTGATTAACACTGAACTACTTCTACCACCACAGCGTCTTATGAGTTGAAAAGGGAAGTGAAAAATAAAATAGAAATCATTCTCTCTACTATTAAACCACTGATAAAGTATGTCACAGGGGTTGAATGGTGGATGAGCTTGTAGTTCTGACTCTTTATTATAACATTATCATAAAAGCGTCAAGAATTGACTTTGCCCATGTAACAAAAAAGAACTATTTTTAAATTTCAGGCCCCCTTACCTTTCAACTAAGGATTATAAAAATGAAACCACACTAAACTAACCCATCCACCTTTTTCTTCATTGACATGACCCATTTTTTTCCTATTTGCCACAGAAAGTATATATGTTATTTACCAACATATCCAGGGTTGCAGACACACGCAAGTTGTAAAGTAACCGGATCCTGATAGCAGCTACTGGCAAACTGGCGTCCACTTTCGGGACCATCTGGGCAAGGGCAGGGACGGCAGTGATCACCTGACCCAATGATGGGGTCACCATAGTAACCGGCCATGCACCTATACAAATCACAGAAGAGAAAGAGCCATGAACTCTAGCTCTAAGAAACTTGAAATGGTTCTTTCCTTTTGGGAACACTCACTCCCCATTCCTTTTCTTTCCATGTGGAAGACTTTGCGCTGCACAATGGTTTTAAATCCTTAGCTCCCTTCAGAACCATCTGGAGGGCATACTGACCAGGTAGACTGCTCCCTCATGGGTTTCTAATTTAGTACATCCAGGGAGAGGCTGGAGCATGTGTATTTGTATAGGATTTTAGGTCCTATTGCTTCCCAGCCTTTTGGAGAAGATCAAGTGCAGATTTTTAGGTCCTGGTGCTGGTCTAGGGACCACACCTGCAGAAACCACAGCTTTGGAACAGCACCCCTGGATTCACAGGCCTTTATTGACTCCTCCTCAGAAGAGAAAACACATTCCTATCTGCATTCTCCTACCACCCATGTGTTCTGTTCTGCTTCCTTCTCACCTTCAAAAGCCGGTCCACAGCAGAGGTCAGCTAAAAATAGCCTGACTCTGCCTGGCCAGGATGGAGTTCATGGTGGCCAGTTAACTAAAGCCTTGTCTGCAACTCAGCGTTGACGAGTAACAGAGACCAGGATGAACTCTAGGGGTGTGGCTTCCATGTCTGTCCCTTAGGCGATGCCAAACTTAGGCAGGGAACACGGATGCCAGTTATGAAGCTGCCAAAGTAAAAGCTCCAATCTCTCCTTTACAGGGAAGGAATCCATAGGTTCTCAACAACAAGATGACAGTACTTGAATTTGACCTCCTTTTCACCTTTTCTTTCACTACATCATACTGCTTTTCAAGAGGAAATGTAATTAGCTTATTTTTCTAATTTCCTGTAATATAAGCACCTGGATGAACTTGAGAGCTCATCTAATCCAATCTAGTTCTTTTTTGGCAGAAAATGGATACTTGAGGGAGGGGGCATATGAAGCAAGAACCGAAGCGGAAATGCAGGTCTGAGGATTTCAGGTTTGTTTCTTGCGTTCGTTTGGGGCAGAAATCATTCCACATCTTTGAAAAAATGAGGGAAATAAGAAGATACAGAAGGGACACTTTGTTCAGAGGAAATCAATCTACTGACTTAGACACAATTCTAAGATGTATCACAGGGACATATTCCCTAATTATGGGCTGGGGTGTAATGATGAAGTAATTTTGTACAATAGTTTTAGAGAACATTTTCTAGGGGACTTTTCCAAGGGGAAAATAAGTCCAGATGCATCATGACAGAAAGTCAAGTTTACTCCCTGTCTCTCATACACTTCCTCCCTTGGGAACAATTTGAATACAGACTTCTTTTTTGAGGTCATGGATGAAACTCTCATCATCTTGGAATAGGGAAAGAATATTGAGAAATTGGCTTAAACTAGATAGGTTTCCAAACACTTAATAAAACAATTCTGTTGTCCAACACAGAGCTAAAAAAATCTTCCTTGGTGCAACGACTGTGGAAGGCAGTATGGCGCTTTCTCAAAAAGTTGCAAATAGAGACACCATTTGACTCAGCAATTCAACTACTGGGAATATACCCAAGAGACCATAACTGTCATCCAGGCAGATGTATGCACACCCATGTTTATCACAGCTCTGTTCACAATAGCAAGGAGTTGGAAACAACCCAGGTGCCCATCAACAAATGAACGGATAGAGAAGCTGTGTTATATACACCCAATGGAATACTATGCTGCATCGAAAAACAAGGAACTCATGCAATATTATTCAAAATGGGTGACTTTGGAGGACATTATGCTGAGTGAAGTATCTCAGGCACAAAAGGACAAATACTACATGGTGTCACTGTTGTAAAACAGGACTGACCTTGGGGTTGGGGGGAGACTGAGAAGGATGGGTTCAATAATGTATACTGCATTGAAACAGATGAGGGAGAAAACTGTTTAAAAGGGACATGTGATTAGGTATTTTTGTCATGACAGGAGTCTAGAGTGAAAGCTACATGGTGGAGTGGAGCTGGGGGAGGGTTTGTAAAACAATGAAAGAATCTGTCTTTTACTTTTCCAAGAGGGTAGTGGGGGGAGGGAGGGTTTGGAGGAGAGAAAAGTACAACAATGAAGGAATGGAAGTCCAAAGTCTCTGTAAATTTTTATTGACATTAATAATAAATTTAAATAAAACAAAAACAAAAGAAAAATATTAAAAAAATATATCTTTTTCCTCCCATACCCATCCTTTTTCCATAAGAAATGACAACCATTTTATGAATTAAAACTCAAAAAGGCAGTCGTAGATAAAAACGAAGTCATTCTTCCAGAATGTTCTTGCAAATATATTTGATAGTGAAACTGGTTTTGAATCAGTATCGTGGACTACCACTTTTGTTATTTACTTGCTATATACCTTAGAGTTGAATCTGACTTACCGCTGACCCTCGGGTGGGTTAGATTTGTGAATTCATTCTGCTTTCTTTTTTTAAAAACTGACTTTTCTCATCTTTTTCTCCCTCACTCATTTTTCATCTCCCAGTGAAAGAGAAGTAATAACAAAATTTACAGAAGAAATAAAACATGATAATACATTAATCTCCTTCTTAGTAAACTTTTTCTAGTTGCTTTTTGGTTATTCTTGAACCACACAATTTTGGGGTTGGAAGGAATACTTTTAGTTAAAAGTAACCATCAATGGAACCTCCAAATTAGATACAACAAGCTCTTATACCCAGCTTAACATCCAAGTGAATCACTCACGCAATTTTCATTAATGATTTTACTCTCCCTCTGATGGTGTGAAACCGAAAGTTTCACAAGTATATTTTTTTATACAATGGATTGGATACTGGAAAAGATAAATTTTTATTGACATGGGAAGGTGGAGGTTATCACTTTCCAAAAAATAGGACTGAGAGTATGCTGGCATTTGTTAATTAATAATGAAGAATATAATTGTGTGCCTAATTTGCTCATATGGATGATTTCTTATCTACTAAGCTAAATGATGTTATTGGAGACAGCCTATATTGTATTCCTATGCTGTCTAGTAAAGCACTTTGCCACCGTGACAATGATTCAATTGTCATCTGCTAATTGGAGAACAGATCTACTTTTGTGCATTTTAAATGGTATCCTGGAAACTAGAGTTGCTTAAAATGTTTTTAAACACAAAGCTATTTAAAATGACAAATCCCATTTGGACTGAGTTCCTACTTTGACCCAAATTAGGCTTTCCCATTGCACAACCCTCATCCCAGCTCAGAAATGTGCTGCATCTGAGATGTGATTTCTAAACAGGCCATACCTCATTTTAATGTGCTCTCAAAGACACTGTGGTCTTTATAAACTGAAGGTCTACGGCAACACAGTATCAAACAAGCCTACGGGTACTATCCTTCCTCCACGTCTCTATGTCACATTTTGGTTCTATTAGGTACTTAATTTTAGAAGCAGGAGTGGCATCCACTTCCTAAACAACATCTCTCTGGAAACTCTATGAACTTTGATAACTGTCAATAGTTATAAAAAGGCTTCAGGCCTTTTGTTCATAGGGTTGCAATGAGTTGTGCTCGACTCGGAGACAATCAACAACAACATACTTAATAGACTACATACTGTACAGGATAAATGTAATTGTCATAGGCACTGAGGAACCAAAATGTTCATGCTATTCACTATGCTTAAGTATCTACTTTACAGCAGTGGTTTAGAACTGAGCCTGCAACCTCTCGGAGCTCTATACCTGTCCAGATCTATGGTGGCCTTGGAGATTCTCCAGGAAGGCAGAGCCACGCCAGTTTTGCTCTCTTCTTTACCCATCACTAGAACGTGTCTGGCAAATCAAGGTTCTAACTACATACTTACTGGGTACATGAATTAATTCCTAGAACATTCCAAGTTGGGTAGAAATCAATAGAACATGTGGAGTCCGGCATTTATCTGTGGTTTAAGATGTGCACAGCCAAACACTATCTTGTCCACGTACCTTTCACAGTTATGGCCTGTGGTGTAGTCCTGGCATCTCAAGCACTCCCCTGTGACCAAGTCGCAGTCTTCAGCGTGGCCATTGCACTGGCAAGGCTGACAACTTGGAAAACCCCAGTATCCGGGTAGGCAGCGGTCACACTGCCGAGTGTAAACGCCCTGGAAGCAGTGGCACTGGCCGGTGATGGGATCGCAGAAGGCATTGACGGATCCCTGTGGATTGCACTCGCAAGCTGAAAACAGAGGCAGCCAAAGACCCACCCTGAGACACTCAGTGAATGGAAAAGGGCCCTGTTTAGGAACATCCTGGGCCCACCAAGGGCTGGATGGGAAACCAACCCAAACACCCATGGGCTCCCATGGCTGGCTTCAGGAGTGAAGCACCACCTTTGGAGATACAGACAGTCCACACCAGTACTGTTAATCATCTGCATAAACATATCACAATTCTGCTGATTAACTTACATTTGCATCCACTGGGCCCGAAGCCAAAGGTGCCCGGAGCACATCTGTCGCAGGTTCTTCCTACCACGTTGGGCCGGCACTGACACTGGCCTCCGTTGGGGTCACAGACAGAACTCAATGAACCCTGAGGGTCACATTCACAAGCTGCGGGGCAGAGAGAGGCCAGACCCTAAGACACAAGCAGCTGCCTCGTCCCCCCCCCAACGAGATGGGATGTCTGCTCATTACTCCTGGGCTCTGACTTCCTTTTACTACTCTGACTTTTTCAGAACTCCAATTTGAAGCAACACTTTTCTTACGAAGAGCAGGAGGCAACACAAGGCGGCAGGTCTGGGAAATAAAACGCAACGTTCCTAGACAAAAAGTCATTAAAGTTTCCATATATATATATTTAGGATAGTAGACTAATATATTTAGGATAGCAAACTAAAGCCCAGATATTGGTCTGATTTTTCTAATTTCATCCCAACTCTCCACCCGGTATGGAAAGTCTATGTTCTCATAGCTTTTTTTCTATTGTTGTTGTTGTTATGTGCCATCAAGTCGACTCACAGCAGCCCTATGTACAACAGCCCTAAACCTTGCTCTATTGCTTGCCAATTTTATTACCTCTGACACATCTACCCCCATTACCCCAGTCACTGAATCAATCCATCTCACCGAGGTTCTTCCTCTCTTGAGCTGTACACCCAGGAATGACATTCTTCTCCAAGGACTGGTCCCTCCTTACAACATGTCAAAGTATGTCAGAATGGAGCTTCAGAATCCTTGCCTCCAAGGAGCCTGGTTTCACCCTTTCCAGAACCAACTTATTTGTACTCCTAGCAGTCCACGGTATATTCAATACTCTTCTCCAGAACCACAGCTCAAAGGCATCAATTCACCTTCTATCATCCCTAATCATTGTCCAGCTATCTGATACATAGCAAGTAATTGCAAAGACCATGGCCTGTATCAGGTGTACCTTAGTCTCCAGACTGACATGATTGCTCTTCAATACTTTGGAGAGGTCTCTGTTAATTGTGGATTTCTTTGGAATCTACTCCATCTTTATTGACACTCTACCACTAGGATACTATTTTTCTCTGGTGGCCCAGTGGCAAGAAGCTGGGCTGCAATCCCAAATGCACGTGGTTCGATGCTACCAGCTGCTCCATGGGGAAAGGATGGGCAATCTCCTCCCATGCAATTGACTGCCCCTGAAAACCCACCAGAGAGTCAGCTTTGGGTCAGTTCTGACTTGAGAGTACACAACAACAACAACAACAACATTGGAAAAATGAAGGAGCTCTGGAGGCCTAGTGGTAAGAAGCTGCGACACAATCCCGAAAGTACATGGTTTAAATCTACCAGCTGCTCTGCGGGAGAAAGAGAGGCAATCTCCTGTGTAATTAACTGGCTCTGAAAACCTGCTGGAGGATCTGCTATGGATTGGTTCCAACTCGATGGTACTCAACAACGACAATGGAAAAATGCTATAGTACGTGCATTCCAGTGTATCTTCAAGGACCAACTACACTCTTGATCCTCCCTCAAGAAGAGGCAGAAGCGGCAGCTGCACCACGCGGCGGCTCCACGTACGTACCCAGGCCTGTCTGGTGTAACAGTGCAGAAATACTGAAGATAATGTTCCTGCAGACATCTGTCATGGGAGTTTTCACAACACTTCTGCTGTTTTCCAAACAACGATATCTCTGAAAGGTTTCCCAGGCACTGTTTGTGACTGGCCCGTCTCCTGTCCCTCCAACAGTGAAGATGTCCAGAGACTTACAGTACGGCATGAGAACAAGCTACAACACAACAAGACATCGTGATGTTCTCATGGCGGCCCACCTATCAGAGAAAGCCTGCACGCACGTGCACACCAACTTAAACATTTCCTCGATACGTGAAGAGAAAAAACCAAACTCACTGAATAATAAAGTGAAGACTCTTCCCTTCTCAAATATGTTTGCCAGGAAAAACTGAGTCTATTTCATAGTTTTTTGCAAGGGCACTTTTCTAAAGTCACTTCCTATTTCCAGATGGAATCTGCTTGAATGAATCCTTTCCATTAAGTGGAAATCATTAATATTAACTAGTCAAATAGGTTTGGAGGTAAAGAAGAATGATTCCACCCAACCGTGGAAAGTTGGCCCTGAATGAAAGAGTCCCCGGGATCTGAATGACCTGCCCAGCCATCCCTGCATGCATCGGCAAGGACCTTCCACTTACAGAATCGATGAGCGTGTAGGGACTGTCCATGTCAATGTCCGAGGAGCTGTACTGGGGCAGCTCCAACCTCACTGTGTAATTCACACCCTTCTCAAAGCACACGGGGTGTGGCAGGACAACATATCTGTTCCAAAGCAAAGAGCAAAGCATCAACAACTGTACACATTAACCCGTCAGCAACGTCAGAGGAGGAAAGTCAATTCCTGGTTCTGCAATGGTTACTACAACTCGAGAAGGAAGACAACAGGAAAAATGAATCTGCATTGGCATTTTGTGGAGCTGCAAGCTACTGCCACACTGACCTGGAGCCTGGTGACAGAGACACCACCTGGTTGTCGTCGTCAGGCACCGTGTTCCCACAGCGGCTGCTGGCTGGGATCTTCCCAGGTCGCTGCACTGTGATGACCGCTTTTTCCCAGTGGTCAGGCAACTAGAATGAAAAGCAATGCAAAATGACTATCCGCATTGGCCTTCTGCAGCCTGTTTACAGATTACATTAAATCAGCCAGCGGCCAAATGTAAATGGAAAACACTTGGGGTGCTCGCCTCTCATGACTTTCTCTTCAGCTAGTGCCCAGCTCCTGCCCCAATCCTTCCTAGCTGGACCGGACAGGCCTCCCATTTGCTCTCCTTGGGTCTCTGCAGGGCCCCTTTTAGGTTTTCTTAAAAGGAGAGCTGACAACCACCCTGGGCTCCAAATCCTTCGACTGTTTTCCAGACAAAGGTATCAGGTCCAGGTTTCCCATGAACTGTGTGTGACCAGGGTCCATTCTCCTGTCCCTGACAGCATCTCAAACCAGCTCTCACAGAGTGTGCTCAGTGACTCCCCGAAAATTCTCCTCTGCTTATGTTATTCCTTAATTCCAGACACCTTTCCCATTATGCGTCATTTTATCAGAATTCCATCCACCATACTTTTGATGCAAATCATGTTATATGGTTTCTGCAAAAAGTGCAGCCTCTTCAAGGGTTTCCTGTGCACATGCATGTAATAGGCAAAAACTATGGTACACGGGAAGGCCTAGAATGTATTCTTTATGATGCATTTTGGCAGCTGCAGGCCCAGTCCATTCCATCCCGGCCTGCATCTGTGCTGTTGTCTTTCTCTTCGCACCGTGGCTGCAGCTGGGCATGCGCTCAGCAGGGCTGAGCAGTCCGGGAAGGGAAGGAGCAGACTGCAAGTATTTATGTTACCTCAGTTCTCAGCACAGATAAATGTCGCTCTCAGTTTTCATTAAATTAAATGAAAAAAAACCTTGTATATTCACTTCTGTGAAGGCTACCCAGTGGGCTATTGATCTGTTCTGACGCTACTTTCAAATGTTACAAAAATATATAATTTCACTCAAACAACTCACCATCTAGCTGAAATGGACTCACAGATGACCCTCCAGGGGGTTTTCAGAGTCTCTAGGCCACACAACTCTAGGCTCTAGGAGGAGATTGTTTCTCTTTCTCAGAGCAGCTGGTGGATTTGAACTGCCTGCCTTTGGTTTGGCAGTGAATTCCTTACCCACTAGGTCACCAGAGTTCCCATAAGACTCATTAGACTTAACTCCTTGCAAAGTCAGAACTGACTCTGAGATGACCCTACAGCCAGTTTCTGAGACTACAATCTAGTCTCATATAGAGATTTCTCATCTTTCTCCCAAGGAGCTTCTGATGGATTCAAATTGCCAGTAGAGAGAGAGTCACTGTTGTTGGGTTAGCAGTGCAAATCCCACAGACTACACCACCAGAATATCAAACAAACGACACCAGCAGAAAACATCCTCATATCCAAGTAAAACGGGTTTTCCTCCTGGGACCCCTGCACCTCAGCCCCCAGATAGACCACTGAAGTGCCCCCTTTCCTTACCTGTGGCTCATAGCGAATTAGGATGTCATACTCCATGGAATATGGGATGTTATCAATGAAAAACTCAAGGTAAGCCCCTTCAGGAACTCGGACGAAGCCTGCTCCAGTCCAAGAAGGAGTCCGATCCTGGATGTACTGTCGCTCCACTATGCTGACTCCCTGCAGACAAGGGGAACAGGAGTTGAAATGGAATTCAATGGACTCTCACAGTCAAAGATATTTCAAGTCACCCAAATGTAGAAAACTGTGGATACTCCAGAACGAAGGCTACAGAGTGGAGTGGATCTGGGGGGAGCAATTATAAAACAATGAAAGAATAATTTTTCTTTTACTTTTCAAAGAGAAGAGTGTACTCGGGGGGGGGGGGGCAGGGAGAAAAATGCAACAATGAATGGAAATCCAAAGTCTCAAAAATAAAAAAGAGTACTGTGGCTATATCTATTTGGTAGGGTCACACTTTCTTATCTAATAGAATATAAGCACATTTTTTCATATGTAAACAGAAAATTTATTTTAGTTTTGTGGTATCAGTCTTGGAGCATTAGAAGTGGGACTCAGAGATTTGGAATATACTTGGAATGTGCTATAATCAAGAAAATAAGCCTAGAAGAAGGAAAAGAGAAGTGACAAGTGCCATTATAAACAATCTAGGAGTGCTGAGGCATTTCCCAAATGTTAAAGATTTTTTTTTTTAATTTTTATTATATTTTGTGTGTGTACCGTCAAATCGGATCCTACTGGTACAGGAGATTGCCACTCCTTCTCCAGCAGAGTAACTGGTGGATTTGAACCGCGTGCCTCTGGGATTACAGTGCAGCTTCTTGCCATATTTCCCAAATTTTCTGCACTAGCCCTTTATCTAAGTATCTCTGGTGGCACAGTGGTTAAATGTTCAGCAGCTAACTTTTTGTTCAAGCTCATCAGTCATTCTGAGGGAGAAAGATATGGTTACTTGCTTCTGTAAATACTACTGCCTGGGAAACATTAGGGGCAGTTCTACTCCATCCTACAGGGCCGCTAGGAGGCAGAATTGCTGGCCACAGGAATCTAGTATTTAAAGGATTTCTACTTGGCTGTGGCATCTACCTGTGTTAGTTTCAAGTTCCAAGTACAAGTGACTAAATTTGCTATTATAATGAGTATTTGCTGCTACTAAGCTGATTGCCACTGACATCGAGAATTACTCAATTTCAATTGCTTACTCAGGCATGAGTTTGAGTTTAATTCATTACATAATACCCATAGTTGACCATTGCCAAAGACGATCACCATTAACCCCTTAACCTTGTAGATATGTGCATGTTCCTTTACCCATCGAGAGGTGAAATCTATGCTACTCTCCTCAAATCAGGGCTAGCTCTGTGGTTTATGTGTGATAAAAGTGAGAAAACGACATTCTTTTCTGTCTTTTCTTTTGGAGCCCAGCCAGGTTTTTAGACCCCTGGATTCTACTTCATCCCTCCAGAAATGTAGACGCCATCAAAAAGCCTCACTCTCTTGACTCTGCAATGCTGTGAGGACGGTGAAGACATACTTGGAGAGGTCACATGGAGAAAAATGCCCGACCAGCCTCCAGCTGTTTCAGTCAGCCCAGTGCAAGTGCTGGCCATATTACAAGGCAGTAAATTTTAGGATGGTGTGTTATACAAATCCTCCCCAAAAATGTAATGCCATAGAGTTGATTTTGATTCATAGCGAATCTCTAGAAGAGAGCAGAACTGCCTGGCAGGTTTCCAGATGTAGTCTTTAAGGAAGGAAGCTGTCACATTCCTCTCAGAGAGACTAGTGGTTATGAACCATCCAACTTTTGGTCAGCTAAACAACTGTGCAATCAGGGTTCTATTGCTTTTGTTATATGCTACTGAGTGACAGGCGATTCGACTCTCCAGTGGGTTTTCAGAGGCTGTAAATCACATTAAGAGGAGACTGCTCATCTTTTTTCTGAGTGTCAGCTAGTGGATTTGAACCACCTGCCTTTGGGTGAGCAACACAACTCCTTACCACTAGGCCAGAGCTCCCCTATAGCTCCATTACTGCCCGTAAAATGCAGCCTCACCCATTCTACAGGCACTTTCCTACTTACAGGCCCAAAGTTGGCTTCTTCTGCTTCATAGAGGTAATGATCCAAGGTGGTAAAATAATAACCAGATTCCATTTCGTTGCACTGACGTCCAATCATGTGGGGTCGGCAGGAGCACTGGCCAGACTCTGCAGAGCAGCTGAGAGAGAACAAAGCCAGGTCAGCTGTGTTCATACAGAACAAGCCACTATAAGTAGGTCTCCTTTATCCTAACATTAAATGGGGAGACTTTATTCTCGGAGAATTTCCTTTCGAAATCCTCATGAAATAATATGAGGAGAATGCTGCCTGTGAATTAACAGTAATTCTTCTGCGTGGCACTAAAAAGCGTTTTGTGACTGGGTCTTTTTTAGTTTTATCTCCGTTGCCCTTGCTGTACTCACTCGCCCTCCACATCGTACTGAGGCTTTCTTCAGACATCCAAAACTTCCTTCCTTGGTATATTCAGCCCGTTCTGGGCCTCACTATCCTCTATACATCTCAGTCCACCCTAAGGGGCCTGACCAATGTTCTGCACCCACAATACACTCAGGAGACCATAGCTGGGCAAACACACACAGAGAGAGGCTATACATACAGAAAAAATAATTTAAAAGGGAAAAGCCAATATGAACAATGAAACCATTTCTTGTTACTCATTATGGTGAAAGGCTCTGGATAAAATGTAAAGTACTCATTTTTGCTGGTCTATGACTCTTCTTACCCTTAGTATTATGACTTTCCTTGCGTACAAGGTAAAACTAAATGGTATGCACCCATTTTTACATCACCTAATAATCAAGTTGTGGTTTGGAATCATAACCTGAAGCCATTCCCAAAGTTCCTTTTAGACTCAATACCTAATGCAAGTTACAACTCACTGAGAGACAACGCTGTGAAGTTCATAAAAAAATGTCCCAGATAACATAGCCCTGTCACGGTCCAGCTGAAGTCCTCTTCCTGCACATGATGCAAGTGGTTATTCTCCTAGAGGAATATAAATTCTTAACAACCCATGCCAGTTCCCAGGAGAAGAAAGCTTGTTTCAATTAGAACTTAGGATTCTTTTGGCACTGCCAAGCAGCTAAAGCCATTTACAGGAATTTATAAATTTCAGACATTATATCATAAAGACAAAAGAAAAATGCCTCTTTGCTCCCTAACAGATATTTCCTGAGGGAACAAATGCTTAAAACACAAATCTGAAGAAGAAAAATTCTTCATGAGCCATCAATAGAGAACAAGTTGATGTAGGTGAGAATACAGAGCCTGGTCAACACAGAACAACACAAGAAAGGGGAGAATACAGACCTCTGAGGCTATTGCTACCTTTTACCTACAAACAACTCTAAACAAGAACCAACTCCTGACCTGATAAACAAATTCCCTTAATATCAACCCTGGCAATCACACACCTCTAAGTGTGCACAGACTTGAACTGTTGTCAGTGATGAACACTGGTCTAATCCAATAGTCAGTCCTCTGGAAAGCTCACCCTTGTGGCATTACCTGCCCCACTACGCGGTGGCCCTCACACCTACAGCTCTCCCCACTGACTGCTCAGTTCTGTTCTTGTTCTGTATTTCCAGCTACCAATGGAACATTTCCATGGCTTGTTCAGGCATCATCTCCAAACACTATTTCTGTCAACTGATTTAACATTTTTCTTATATTTGTGGATAACATAGAGCTTCTCTTTCTTTTATTAAAAAAAAACCATGAACTACTGTTGTAATGGCTAAAATCACATAAATGTTTGTGTCCTTAAAAAAAAAAACAAAAAAAAACAAAAAACCAAACAACCCCAAACTTTTTCTTTTTATTTTTTATTTATTTGGCTGATCGTTGAGCCACACAAGTTAGCTTAAGTTCCGGGCTCAAAGGGTTATAGCCACCACAGTCTCAGCGGTTCCACCAGTCTCTATTGGACAAACTACATTGGTTATTTTTGTGAGTTTGAGTTTTGTTCCACAAGTTTCTACCACTGTGGTTCAGGACCCCCTTCTGTGATCCCTTTCAGAGCATTCAGCAGTGGTGGCTGAGAACCATCAGTTCTTCTGGTCTCAGTGTGGTGGAGGCTGAAGTTCATGTGGGCTATTAGTCCTCTGGAGTCTATGTTTCTATATATCTTTGATTTTTTTCTTCTCTCTGGTTTATTTTGGACAGGAAGGGACCAGTGATTGTACTTTAGACGGCTGGTCATAAACTTTTAAGAACCTAGTCACTGCTTGCCCCAATAGGATGCAAAAAAGATGCCCCCCGGCCCCATTATAGTAAAGGCCAGTTGACTCAGCTGGCCCTTAAGAGTATGGACCTGAGGTCCTAAGACTAGAACACATTCTCACAACTGAGGGTGCTGGTTCAATAATCAACTCTTATTCTTCAACCTAGGTGTCACTGCTACTAACCTAGTTCAGCATGTTATTATCTGATGTTCTTATTCTACCAACCTTGTAAACGGACTCTAACACTCTTCTCTACCCCTTGCCCAGTCAGTCCAGACTACTCTTCCCATGGCACTGCTTTCATGCCACAGAAACTCCGTAATTGTTTCTTATTTAGGATATCATGTCTTTGTGCCTCTTCCTACCTGCAATCAGCTTCCACCACCAAGTCCCCGAAAACAACTGCTTCTCTTCTGGTGCCTGCCCCTGGCTTTCAGACAAGCCATGCTTCTCACATTCTTCAACAAATATTTGTTGAGCAAATACTAATCCTGGAAGTTGTGTTCCGGGTGTCAATAACCTCACATTTCAGTCCACTGTCAAGTTTCTTTTGCATTATTCTTTACTTCCTAAGTCTATTAGTTTTACTAAATGATACTGAGAGAAAAAAAGGTAAAAAAAAAAAGAGCAAAAACCCAACCACTAAAACACATTTTATAAAAAAACATAGGCTTACAGCCCCTTTGAGAAGGTAAACAACTGAGCAAGTTATTAGTGCAACAAATCAAAGTCAAGATGAATTTATGTACAGGGTCACAAGCAAAGTATGATATGTGTTGAAAAAACAGGCTTCATCTGAGTGAGGGGTCTTTGAGAATTTTTTTTTTGAGTGGTCTTGAAGGCTGGAGGGGATTTTTGACAGGAAAAGCACACTCAATGACGGGAGAAAGGAGGGGTGTTAGAGGAATGTGCAGAGAGGTGTCTCAGAAAGGCAAGCTCACGGCATATGTACGCAGACAATGGGCTATTATGGAAGTTTTTAAAGTGCAGAAGGAATGGTCTGGCCAGCATTAGAAGGTTAACTGCAAAGCAGTTAGAAGACAGACACAAAGTGATAACTTAGTCCAGTGGGAATTCAAACGGGTTTGGAGGCAGGAGCCTGGGAGAGAACGTCCCCTGAAAGTGCCACCTTCATATTCCCATTCCTGTGCCCTCTTTTTTCCCCTTTGTTAAGTCCTCCTCCCTCCCTGTGTCATCCATCTTTCAAACCTCAATCACCTTTCAAAATACAAGCTCAGATTTCGTTTCCTGCACAGTGAGATCAAAGATTTATTACATATAATTACTCTTTCCTGTGTTCAAATAAAAATCATATTTCATTCAGATGGGGTGCTTTACCATTTTCTATGCTCCCTTTACAAATCTCTCAGTAACTAGACCACAGATTCAACATATTGAGGTAGGAAGGTGGAATAATGTCATAAGAGGCAAATAAACACGATCCTGAGGCAGGAAAATAATGATCACTAAAAATATCCACCCCCCCTCATCCCTGGAACCTGTGGAACCTCTCATGCCAAAGGGACTTTGCAGATGTGTGTAGGGCTAAAGGCCGTGAGATGGGGAGATTATCCAGAATTAACTGGATGGGTCCATTCTAATCACATGCACCTTTTAAAAGAGGAAAAGGCAGGCAGAAAGAGCTGATGTGAGAAAGATTCGACCTGCCACTGCAGGTACTTAAGATGGAAGAAGGGAGTTAATTATATGTCAGGGAACGTGGTGGTCTAGTGGGTACAGCTGCATTCATTGCCAATCTAAAGGTTTCTGCATTGTTACTATGTGCCTTCAAGTAAGAAGTAACACACAGCTGGCCCTCCAGCAGGTTTTCAAAGGCCATAAAACCTTAGGAGACACTGCCCATCTTTCTTCCATGAAGCTGTATATTTGAACCACTTGCCTTTACATTGGCAGCATTAATTCTTTACCACTAGGCCAGCAGAGGTTCCAATCCACCAGCTGCTCTGTGAAAGAAAGATGGGCAGTCTTGTCTCGTGCAATGTGTAGCCTCTGAAGACCCACTGGAGGGTCAGCTATGAGTTGGTTTTGACTCACCGACACAACTTGATGACACATCACAAGAACTAGAAACTAGGAACGGCTCTCTCCATTTACAATCAACAGGAGACTTGAGGCTTCATTCTACAACTACAAAAAAATTCTGTCCACAACCCAAATAAGCAGGAAACAAACTGTCCCACAGAGCTTAAAAAAAAAAAAAAGAGCAGCTTTCCAATCCCTGGATTTCAGTCTAGTCTGAGCTATGACCCACAAATCTTCTGGCCTCCAGACCTCTGACAGAATGAACCTGTGTTGTTTTAAGCCACTACATTGTGGTAATTTACGATGACAGTAATAGAAAATGGTTTTCTTTTTTTCCCCCTCAGTGGGTCATAGCCAAGGCCATTTGGTAAAAACATGGATTTCTCATGGATAAATAAATAAATTAGAAACTTAAGAACTATATTGGAAAGAAAGTTCTATTCAGTTTCAACAGAAAAGAGAAAACACTGTCCACTTTAAACTTTTCTCTATTACTAGGAAATTATGAAGCAAAATATTGAAGGATAAAAGACAAACTCCTAATAACCAACCACTCTCTTCAACTCTGATCTCATGTCTCTCATTCTGATTTCAAGTAAGAGTTGGCTCCACAATGATTAGCAGTCAGAATCGTCCATTTTTTTCTAGAGTACCCTTCTTCCTCACCCGCCCATAACTAGAATACTTAATTCTTAAAGGAAAGAAACTATAATCCCTTTTTATTTTTCTATCATAGTGACTTACTATATATACCACAATCATTCCAATAAAAATAGCTATGATTTTCTGTTTTCAAAGTATGATAAATGTCACATCTGTTCATTTACTGAGAACATACAAGGCCTGATTACTGTGGACAAAAGACGTAACAAAAGCGTTTCTCTTTGCCCAAAGAAAACTTTAAAATACAACCAACTACAATTGAAGTCACAATAGAGCCATGATCCTTAGAAAAATGCAAAAGTAATGTGACGCTGAATAAAAAATGTTTAGGGACTTCAAGCCATTATTTCAAGGTAAGAAAATCTTAAATTATTTTTTAAGGCAGGAGGAAAGGTGCTTTCTTTTTCAATGGTTTAAATATTTATAAGAAGCATTTACATAGCATCTCATGCCACTAATTCTTATTAGCTCATTAAAAGGGTTAATTGCTAGCCAAAAATTTCAGTATCTTGTTTGGAATATTTGAATTTATTAGATCTTACTTCTTTAAAATATTCCTAAGTTTGAAGTAGCTGGCACCACAAACATGCATCACAAAACTATTACTGTCCTGTCAACAGCCCACTCAGCTCATTACTCAAAACAGTGTTACTTTTTCTACTTCAAATTACTTTGATATATTTTATGTTCTTGGCTAAAGTAATTAAAGAATGTTTGAAATCACATTTAGCTTGCCTGTACTGAGGAGCGTACTTTAGTTTTGATGTTGCTATGAGGCGAATTATGTTCTCTCAGATCTATGCTGAAATCCTAAGCACCAATACCTATGAATATAACCTTATTTGAAACTAAGGTCTCTGAAAATTTTATCAATTAATATCAGACCATGTTGAGCAGTACCCTAAAAAAATAGAGGAGATAAAAGAAAGAACCCCAAGTATCTAAGGACTTGTACCATCAAGCCAAGCAATGCCAAGGGTTACCAGAAGCCAGGAGAAACAAAGGCTCAAGGCAGACTCTATCTACAGAGAGGGCACAGCCTTGCTGAAACCTCTGGTCTACTAAAACCTAAGACAATATTGTCTATAGTTTAGAACCGCCCCCCTAACCCCTGCCCTGCCTTGTATGATTTATTTTGGCAGTTGTAGTAAAGGCATAGAGATTTCACAAAGATATTTTGTTTCTCAGACACTTTGATTCAATTGACACTTAATACTATGTGTCTAAACCAGAGTCAGGGAATATTGTCAGGCAAAGGGTATTGATGATGTGGTTGTAAAGAATCAGACACTCAACAAATTGTCCCTGCATGGTACCTATGTGTCAAGCATTTACCTTAGTAAAATTAGTGCTTCAGAAGGACTAGCCTCCTTCACCCCCAAAAGGCACTCGCAGAGAAATCACTCTAGGAGGAAAACCAGGAAGCCTTGAAGAGAATCACCATTGACTGTGGGAGACGCAGAGGCTACAAGGGCATTTTAAATGGGGTTTTCGCACCAACGACACCACACAGAAGCTCATCGATCATGCTAAAAAGACCAGATGGTGACTTGCTTGAAAAATCCTTACTCAAATTTTGGCTTCACACTTTAATTTTTATAAATTCTTACAGGGGAAACTTGAAGACAGGGCAGAGGTTGTGTGTGGGCAGGGCTAGAGAGAAAAAGTGTGACTCAGAGAAAAAGAAGAGAATGTGAGAACAGGAACAATTTCACAGAAAGAAATACAGAGTGCAGGAACAGACACATCCCAAAGTTGAGGACATGATGTGGAGCACGAGGTACCAACCACAGTCATGGAATCAAGGACAGCAGAAGTGATGTTGGCTATGAACTGAAGACTTAGTTAGGAAAGGAGTCAGCGTTTTCTGGGAGGGAAGACAAGTCTGAGGGGCGATTCTGTGAGCAGAGCAGCTGTTGCCTTTCAGCCCAGTGTTTATGGCTGACCCTTGCTTCCCTCTGGTGGTTTTCTAAGAACAGAAATCCACCCTGGAGTTTCAGAGGCTACATGCTGTACTGAGCCCACTCCATGAGCTGGAACAGATCAAACCCAAATAAAGAGGCCAAAAAGAACATGTTCTTTCTGCATAAAATATCACTCCTTCCCAGCAAACTACTATGATACTGGGAAATAATTTTGTAGGAGAGTCAAGTTTTGAGTGCATGAAGCTTGCTCAATGAATTCAGCATGTTCTCTCAGGGATCATTCTGGCTACAAGGAAACATCTGTCTATTCTCACAGCAGTCACTTACACTATCTTTACCAGATGTTCTGACTCGAGTCCAGGAACAAACAGACCAAAATTCCCTTCGACTCAAAGGTGGTTAATTAATCTCTCTCAGATTTTACATTTTGCCAAGTGTGTACATATGAAAATTCTTGGTAGAGTTCCATGGATTTTTCTTTTCTATTCAAGGAATACATGCATATATTTAAGTAACTAAAAAGAGAAGACATAATTTTCATTAATGGACTTGGAAACTGAACAAAGGAAAGAAGAGAGGCAAAAGAAAATGAAAAGATTCTCTACACAAACTGGAGTGGGAGCCCATTTTCCATCTTTTATACTGGCAAAAAAGAAAATGCTTGATGATACCAGATGCGGAGAGGAGGAGGGCGAAAAGATACTTTAAGCGGTTGTTAAGAAAATAAACGAGTACATTTTCTCGGGAGAACAATCTGACATTAACTATTAACATGAAAAATGCTCCAGTACTTGGATTTGGCAGTCCCATCACTGGGTCTATGAATAGACCTACAAACCATCTACACAGATTGCTTTACTACATTTAAATGACCAAAATAAAAAAAAAAAAATCAAATAAATCATGGTACTTCCACATGACAGAATACTAAAAAGCTACTTCAAAGAAAGAGATAGACATACTGACATGACATAAGATGAAACAAACCAAAAAAGTGCAGAATAAAGTTATACTACACTCCTTAGAGGCAAGGATAGTGGAACTCTGTCCACTTACTTTGCCTGTGTTGTCAGGAGGGAACTCATCCTTGGAAAAAGACATTATGGTGGGAAAAGTGGAGTGGGGTTATTATTGAGAGACACAGTGACTATAAAAATGGGCTCAAGTATATCACAGATGAGGATGACCGGGGCAAGGTTCAGGTCTCTTGGTCGGAGGTGTGCTAGGAGTCATGGTTGAATTGACAGCATCTAACAACAAGAACACTTATCACATTTAGAGCACGTAAATGATGCTTAAGCATTTAATGCACGTAGCATACACAGGAAACTAAAACATGGGTCTCACAGTTTAAAAAGACTGAAAAACATGAGATTACCATAAAACACAGTGTGTTACTTATACTTTCAAGAAATGTTTCAGTAAAGCTAAGTTGTGAAAACATGGATCATGTATCTGAGGGTTTTTTAAATTTGTACTTACCTGTCTTTAAAAGTAAGTCTTATTATATTATTATTTTAAAATAAGAAAAGATTTCATGTTTGAAGGAAAATTTGCTATCTACATTATTCTGGACTGATTTTTTTCCCTTCTTTTAGGGTTTGATATATGCCATTCCATTGCCTTCCTGACTGTATTATTTTCACTGAGACGTCAGAGGTTCATCTTACGGGTTCTCACTTGTAGGTAACACTTCATTTTTCCCCGAACTACTCTGAGAATTCTTCCCAAATTTTAAAATTTTAACATGCATATTAAGCAATATGAATATGTATGGAGCCATGAAATTATTAATGAGATACGTCTAGGCAAAAACTTTGAGGAAAGCGATCAGATGAAGGAACACTTCTACTTCTCACATTCGTATCTGTCTGAATGGTTTGAATTTTTAAAAAACCATAAATATGCACTGCTTCAGTAATTAAAAAAATTAAAAGTACATTTAAAAAAAAATATTAAATCAAAAGCATATACGTCTTACCAGAAGGCTTCAAAGCAAACTCTCAAGACTTCAGGTAAGCATGACTAATTATCTAGAACTCAGAGCAAAGATAGCTACTTTGTATATCTTCTATTTGTCTTAAATCAACTTCAGTTCAATGAGAAGTCAGGAAATTTTCCATGGAGACCCAGTAGTAGTGTCTAAGGGAAGCTCCACTTACTTGTTGTTTAATGCTCCTCCAAGGTCACAGTCACAGGGTCGACATCCATCCAAATCATTACTTAAACCCCAATGCTCTTGCTATAGAACAAAAGATTAAACATCTAAAAGTAGGCTCTTATAAGTACACAAAAGACTCAGCAAGAAACAAGTTACATCGTGTTTTGGTTTTTCTACCAAACATTCATTGTCACTGGGAAAGTGGAAAGCTAACAAAAGAAGGGATTATTCTGAAAAAAACCCAAACTGTAGCACTAAAGTCAGAGATGGCTACACATAACCACATGGAAATTCCAGGTCACAGAGCAGTTTGTTTGCTTTGCAAATTGCTATTCTCCAATAATTAACAGAAGCAAGCAGCAAAGAGGGTGATTTTCTTCACTGGCATTAACTCTGGCAGTTAGGTAGAGCTTGGCAAATATTTGACAGGTGTTTTAATGTTTCTAATTCTGTCTGACATAAACCCCATGAAGAAAACCCCTACGGAGTCATCTACATGGAAATATTGTATAAATACAGAAGAAATCTCACAAACAAAAAGCCAAGATTCCAGAGTCTTGGAAGCCCCTGGGACAGAAATAACAAGAAATGAGACAGAATCTAAGTATGAGAGAAGACCTCTTTGTGAATCAACAAATATGTATTTGTCAATGAGCAGATGAAAACCAGCTTGACAGTTTAAACTTCCAGAAAGCTGCTTTAAGAATCTATCAGGATATCATCGAGAAAATATACATATATCTCTTTTAAGACCAGTTACTATCCTCTCCAGTTAAAGAAACCAAAAGACGAATGTTATAAAACACAGAAATTGTAAAAAAATTATTTCCATGATTATTCCATCCAGAATACTACTATGAATAGTCTGCTGTGCTTCCTTCCAGATTTTGGGGGTTTTTTCTTGATGTCTTTCCCCCTTACATAATCAAGGTTCTAGTCACATCCTGTACTTTTTTTCCCTAACAGCATAAGTATTTCCTCCAATTATTGTCTTTCCCAATGGTAACCAAATATCATACTGTACACTATTGTTAAAAGCCACTGAGTAGATTACAACTCATAGTGACTCTATGAATGGACTGAAAGCCTGTCTTGTCCAGCACTTACAATCTCTACCATGCTAATGCCCACTGTTATAATCACTGTGTCAATCCAACCTGTTGAAGGTATTCCTTTCTTTTGCTAACACTCTACTTTTCCAAGCATGATGTCCTTTCCCAGTAACTGGCACCCCTGAGAACATGCCCAAAGTATGTGAAACAAAGTTTCACCATCATTACCTCTAAGGGGCACTCAGTAGACACCCCAGAATTTAGCCAACTATTTTCCCACTGCTGCTTCCAAGTCTTTAGCTATAATTAATAAAATATGAAATCCATTTTATAGTTTCGTCCAATGTCTTAATTATGACAGAATCCCTGAAGTGGGATTACTAGGACAAAGGGTATGCATAATCCTAACAGTAACTAATACATACAACCGGAATGTTTGTTCATATTTCCATCAGCGACATATGAATACCAGAACTTCAGTATACCATTACTAACATGAAACAATAAAATTTTAAGTTTTTGTTAGTTTTGTCTGTAAAGATAGTATTCTACTATTGTTTTTATTTATAACAGTGAAGCATTTTGTTAAATTGTTAATCTCTCTTTAATGAATTTCTGTAGGAATCTTTCAACAGAGGTAGCAAAAACCAGTGGCATTCTCATAAAAGTGTTGCATTCACAAACCACCTGACACAGGTAACTAGGATTTACCTACCAGACACTGGTCACAACGCTGGCCTGTCACCAGACGCTTACAGTAGCAGTAACCGGTCTCAGAGTCACAAGGATTCCCTCCAGGAACTGTCCCCAGAGGATTGCAAGCACAAGCTTGAGTAAAGAGAAAAAAAGAAATAAGAACAAGAAGACTACTAAGTCTGAAGGAGTAGTTTATAATTTAGAATTGCCATGAAAAACTAGAATTATCTATAATTAAGAATGTAAAACAATCATAGGCAGGCATAGCTTATACATAATTATATTACAAATTTGGGTCCAGATCATAGCAATAAAGTGCAGGTTGCAATAGAGTGAATCTTGTGATTTTTTTCCTGTTCATTTCTCAAAGCATCCAACAAGTCAGTCTTTTTAGTAAGCAATAGCTTTATGAAAATGTTTGAAATTTCAAGAATGACCAAAATGTGCTGGACATAGGAAGTGAGCACATGAGCTGTTGAAACACGAGCTGATAGACTTGTTTGACACAGGGTTGTCATAACTTTCAGTACGTAAAAAAGTCAATAGCTGCAAAGTGTAATAAAACAAAGTGCCATAGAGCAAGACATACCTATTATATATGTGTGTATCTCTGAGTGTTTGTGTGTGTGTATACTATTATCAGCTGTTTAGTCAGAACCAACTCATAGCTGACCCTCCAGAGGGCTTTCAGAGGCTGTAAACTGCATGGGATGAGAGTATCCATCTTTCTCCTGCAGAGCAGCTGGTGGATTCACACTGCCTTCCTCTGGGTTGGCAGCACATCTCCTTTAAGCAAAATGTAACTTACATTTACAACCAAATGGATCTTCAGCACTTATGCCATAGAAGCCTTCTTTACAAATATCACAATGTTCTCCTTCCACATATAATTTACACCGACACTGGCCAGCAATGAGACCAACAGAAAAATCCGTGTAACTGTCACAAATGCCCTCATTCTGGGAACCAGCGGGGTCACAGGTACACCCTAAAAATGGAAAATGCCAGATAAAATGCATCAGGAAACACAAATGTACAAGTGTATATATATGCTCCCTTCTTTCTAAAGCTCATAAAAATGGATGAAAGAAGGCTTGACCACCCAGGAGTTAAAATCACCGTGGTGGGTTTGATGTTATTTATGAACTCTGAATGAAGGGTGTTAACTACCAGAGTACTCCATCTGATCAACAACCAGAAATGGGTCCCATTCTAGGCTGCAACAGTTCCATGATATATGTTCAAGGATATGAACATGTATGGCTAAGCACAATTGATAACAGTGCATCTAAATTCCAAAATCAATCTCCACAATAGTCTACATATTTCCTATTGCCAAAGGGGCCCTTTAGAGTAGTGAGAGAAGATCTTCACCCTGAAAC